TCACTCGACCTAACCTAAACTAAACCTTTCCCTTGTTTTGAAATGCAGCCACCTCAACTCCGCGTGGCGCACAGCAAAAGGAAATGACCCTTGAGGCGCTCAAGCGTCCAGCAAGGCAACTCTGTCCAACCCTAAACCCTAAACCCTAAACCCTAAACCCTAAACCCTAAACCCTAAACCCTAGACCTGCCTCGATTAAGTCCGTGAGGGTTTTGACAACTTGAATGCCCAAAGAGACAATCCAACGGGGAGGCAAATGCTGCAAGGGTTTAGAAAAAACCTGACCCGACAAAACCTCTCCTAGGCGCCACGGGTGGAGGAACCGCCCCTGCGCAAAAACCCTAAACCCTAAACCCTAAACCCTAAACCCTAAACCTTACGCAGGATTCTGCAGACACGACGCTCGCCGAGGCCTGCGTGAGGCTCGAGAAGACGTGTACGAGGGGCAAATAGTAGCCCGAGAAACAAACCCAAACCCTAAACCCTAAACCCTAAACCCTCGCACCTGCAGCAAAACCCTCATCGTCGCCTTGGGAGCCCCCGGGCCGCAGTCTTTCATGCCGCCGATGCCTTGGGAGCAAACAATTGCCCTAAGCACAAACACGCAGGCCCTAACCCTAAACCCTAAACCCTAAACCCTAAACCCTAAACCCTCAGCCTCCCTCCTGACAGCAAGTGCCCCAAACCCTAGACCCTAAACCCTGGAACTTACGCTCCCTTGAAGTATGGCGTCTCGAAGCAGTGCACAGCTGCAGAGTCGCACCAGCATGGCACTCTAAACCCTAAACCCTAAACCCTAAACCCTAAACCCTCAACATTAGAAGAGACGCCTCGAGTCTCACGACCAAAAGCGACACCCCTAACCCTAAACCCTAAAACCTGGACTGCAGCGCCAGCTGCCCAAGCGCTAAGAACCCGCTGACTTCGTGTGACCTTTTGCCTTAAGTTGCCCTAGGGTTTAGGGTTTAGGGTTTAGGGTTTAGGGTTCACCCTTTGAGACCGGCTGGTCCGCAGCGAGCAAATAGAGAGGAGGAGGAGGAAAGCGAAAACGAAGATGGCTAAAATGCTTCGAGCGCTGCAGCAGTAAGCACACATAAGAAGAAGTGTGAGCAGCAGCAGCAGCAGCAGCAGCAGCAACAGTAACAGCAGCAGCAGCAACAACAGGCGCATCAGCGATAGCAGCAGCAGCAGCAGCCGGAGAAGCAGCCGAGATAGCAACGGCAACAGTGGCAGCAGCAACAACAGCAACAGCAGCAAAAACGAGAGCAGCAGCAGCAGCAGCAGCAACAGCAGCAGCAGCAGCAGCAACAGCAGCCGCTGCCCACAGCAGCCAAGCCCTAGGCTCCCGTAGCAGCTGTTGCAGGCCGCAAACCCTCGCTCTTCCCTCCCCATGCCGCCTAGCCCTAGCCCTCGCCCCTAAACCCTAAACCCTAAACCCTAAACCCTACGTGGTCTGCTGCTTCCTTGGTCCTGCGGCGCTGCTGCTGCAGCGCCTCCAGCAGCCACGGCTCGGCTATGGCCCGCAGCAGCAGCGGCCGCTGCGGCCAGCTGGAGGGGGGGGGTGGTGTTGCTGCAGCACTGGTGGCCCGGGGCTGGAAGCTGGCGGCCCCACACGTGCACTTGCTGCTGCTGCTGCTGCTGCTGCTGCTGCGGCCGCTGCGGCTGTGTTGCAGCAGCCAGGTGCCGTCGCCGCTGCCTGGGACCATCAGCACTGCCGCGTCCGCAGCGAGCTTTGCGCCCGACTTGCTGCTGCTGCTGCTGCTGCTGCTGCTGCTGCGGCCGCGTCCGCGACGCATGCTGCTGATGCTGCAGCTCCTGCTGCTGCTGGCGCTGCACATGCAGGTAGCCCTCTTCGCTGCTTCCTCGATGAGCACGTTGCTGCTGCTGCTGCTGCTGAGGCGGCCGCTGGCAGCAGCGCCGTGAGGCGCAGTGAGGGACGCGTGCACACCAACAGCAGCAGCAGCAGCTGCTGCTGCTGTTTGCTGCAGCTCAGCTGCAGCAAGGGTTTCGTCCGCCCGCTGCTGCTGCTGCTGCTGCTGCAGGGTGCTGAATTTGCTGTTCTCTATGCTGGCCTGAGTCTGGGGGGTCCAAGCTTCCTCGTACTCCCCCGTAGGAAGGACGTTGCTGCTGCTGTTGCTGCTGCTGCTGCTGCAGCTGGGGACGGTGGAGCCAAGCGCAAGGGCAGCAGCATTGGGGGGAGCAGCGGCTGCTGTTGCTGCTGCTTCTGCTGCTGCTGCAGCAATTGCTGCCACGGAAGCAGCAGTCAAGGGCCTCTGGCTTTGGTGCAGCGCAGCAGCAACAGCACGAGAAGCAGCAGTTGAGGAGCGCAGGGATTTGACTGAGGTGTACAGACACCCGATTGCTGCTGCTGCTGCAGCGGGCAGCAGCGCAGCAGCAGCAGGGTGCATCAGGAAGCCAGATGCAGCAGACAAGATCCAGCTGGGCCAGTTGGCAGCTGCTGCTGCAGCTGCTGTTTGCCCTTGCGCAGCGAACAGCAGCAGCAGCAGCAGCAGCGGGAGACAGCATGGCAGCAGCAACAGCAGCAGCAGCACAAGGGAGCACTCAATTGCCCTTTCAAGCCCCTCCGTTGTTGCTGCTGCTGCATGCAGCTGCGCAGCAGCGTGCTTGCGCTGCTCGTCGCAGACTGAGGCAACAGCAGCAGCAGCAGCTGCTGCTGCTGCTTGTGCTGCTGCTCGGGTGTAGGCAGCAGCTGCTTCTGCAACTTCTTCGTCAGCAGCAGCAGCAGCAGCAGCAAGAGCCCCCTCAGGGACCATCAGGTTTGTCAGCTGCTCATCGTTGCTAGGCAAGGGCTGTCTGTACAGCTGCAGGACTTTCTGCTGCTGCAGAGCAGCCTCCTGCTGCTGCTGCTGCTCTTGCTGCCCCTGCTGCTGCTGCTGCTGCCCCTGCCACTCCTGCTTCTGTCCAGCAAGAGAAAGCGCTGTTTTCTGTGCAGCTTCTGCTGCTGCTTCTTGCAGCTGATGGTTTGCTGCTAAAAGTCGAGGCTGAGGGCCCGCTGGCTGCTGCTGCTGCTGCTGCTGTTGCTGTTGCCGCTGCTGCTGCCGCTGCTGCTCCTCTTCCTGCGTATGGCGGTACTGCTGGTACGTTTCTCGCTGTTGTTCTTGCTGTTGTTGTTGCTGTTGCTGCTGCTGCTGCTGTTGCTGCTGCTGCTGTTGCTGCTGCTGCTGTTGCTGCTGCTGCTGCTGCTGCTGCTGCTTGGGGCTGTCATACCTAGGGGGCAGGGCCCACCAAGAGAGGTCAGGAGACAGACGCCTCTGCAAAGGAGCCTCTGCAGCTGCGGCTGTCGACGAGGCTTGCGCTTCTGCTGCTGCTGCTGCTGCTGATGGTTCTGCTGCTGCTGCTGCTGCTGATGGTTCCGCTGCTGCTGCTGCTTCCTGAGAACCTTCTTGCGCACGACCTTCTGCCGGATCTGCTGCAGGAGGAAGACCAACCATAAGGAGGCCAAGCACCAAGCTTAGAGCCTCCATCTTCCCACCGCTACCTGCTGCTGCTGCTGCTGCTGCTGCTGTTGCTGCTGTTGCTGGTTCTGCCAATGCCGTTTTTCTAACAAATGATGCTCGTCCTGCTATTAGTTCTGGAGGCAATACCGTCACAATGTCTTTGCTGCTGTTGCTGCTGCTGCTACTGCTCCTCCTGCTGCTGCTGCTCTGCCGCTGCAGTTGCTGCAGTTGTGGCTGAGCTCTGGAGTCTTATTTCGATATACTATGAGCCCGAGATGCGCTGATCCATTCTACAATTAGAGCTGCGTCTCGCTGTTGCTGTTGCTGCTGCTGCTGCTGTTGCTGCTGCTGCTGCTGCTCTGCTGCAGGTGACTCGAGTGGTCTGTGGCTGGCTCGGACCGGCAGTTTGCTGCTGAGGGGAAGTAGCTGCAGCAAAGAAGCAAAACAGCTCTTTTAGATATTTCAAAGAAAGAAAAGAAAGAAGACTAAACTGCTGCTGCGGCTGCTGCTGCTGCTGTCGCTGCTGCTGCGCCGATGGCTCGAGATCGCTCAGCTGTACGTACACCTGGCAATCGGCGGCGCTCGCGCCCTGTCTGCGGCGGCCTTTCGAGTGAAACTGAAAATTAAAAACATTAAAAAATATTTAAATTTAAATTAATAATTAAAAACAAATCCATTTGAACTTCATCTTCCGCCAATATGACTCGCCAGCGCGGAGCTGCTGCGGTTCTGCTGCCTCCGCTCGGTGGCGCTTTTTCCCGGATTACCTTCTCGCAAAAACGAAAACAAAATACCATTTTAGACAAATTTAAAAGTCTTTTAAAATTAAATTCCACAAAATAACTCTTCAGGAGCTCTCTAGACACACGCAGCAGCAGCCCGTAGCCACAGTGAGCCAAACTCTGCAGCAGCAGCAGCAGCAGCAGAGTACACGCTGAAACAGTAGCAGTTGCAGCAGCAGCAGAAACGCAGCTGCAGCTGCAGCCGCAGCTGCTGCAACAGCAGCAAGAGCCACTTCAGCAGCAGCGGCAGCTCCAGTCGCAGCAGTGGCTTGTGCAGCAGAAGCCACCGCAGCATTAGCAGCAACAGCATTAGCAGCAACACCATTTGCAGCAGCAGCATTAGCAGCTGCAGCACTAGCAGCTGCAGCAATAACAGCTGCGGCACTAGCAGCTGCAGCATTAGTAGCCTATTTGTTTATTGGATTTCTACATTTCTATTTGTTAAAGCCCTCAGGCTGTTGCTGCTGCTGCAACAAGAGGCAGGAGCCAGAGAGATGCCGCAGCAGCAGAAGCAGTTGAGCTGCAGCAGGAAGCAGTAACGAAGCAGCAGCAGCACACTGAGAGCAAGGTGCTACTACTGCTGCTGCTGCTGCTGCTGCTGCGGACTGTTTTTCCACTTGTTGCTGATCGCCCTTTAGTGCTTCCAAACAGAAATAAAAAACAGAAATAAACAAATAATAAAATAAATAATAAATAGCAAATAATAAATAAATAGGTAAATGAATAAATAAATAATAGATAAATAAATAATAATAAAATAAATAATAAATAATAAAATATTTGTCTTCCTCGAGTACATAAAAAGTCGCCGCAGGCATTTTGCGAATTCAGGTGTACAGACACCTGGCTAGCAGACCCCGCGCCTGCAGCAGCGGCTGCTGCTGTTGCTGCTGCTGCTGCTGTTTCTGTTGCTACTGCTGCTGCTGCTGCTGTTTCTGTTGCTCCTGTTGCTGCTGCTGCTGCTGCCGCTCCAGTTCTAGAGGAGCTCCTCCAGCATGGGCTGCTCAGTTACAGCAGCAATTGTTTCCGTGAGCTGAAGCACATGCAGCAGCAGCAGCAGCAGAAACGACAATGCAGCAGCAGCAACAACAACGAAGCAGCAGCAGCAGCTGCTGCTGCTGCTGCTGCTTCAGCAGAGCCCTGGGGGTTATCTGCAGAAGCGCAGCAGCGAATTCGCAGCTCACTTAACAAACAAGCAAATAAATAAAGAGAATTAAATGGAATAAAACAAAAAATAAATAAATAAATAAATTAAATAAATAAATAAAATAAATAAGCAAATAAATAAACAAAGGGGACTCACCACGCGAATTTGCGTCTTCAGCTGGGCACTTTTCCGCGACCACAGCTCATACTTCCTGCAGCAGCAGCAGCAGCAGCAGCAGCAGCAAAGGCAGCAGCAGCAGTGGCATCGAGAGCACCAAGTGTTTGCAGCCGCTGCAGCTTGAAGGCAGCGAACAGTAGCAGCAAAACGCGCA